CTGAGCTTCTGAAGAGCTCAGACGCCGTACTTGTGCGTTCATATCCCCTGCAAGTACTATAATATCTGAACTAGTAGCACTGCGTAGCAGCGTGTTCAGTTCGTGATAGAAAGTGTCCTTGACTGCATTAGAACTGCAGTCGGTGGGAGCATAAGCGGAAATCAAGAACAAACAGCGTTTTGTACTACTTCGTGAATCAACCTTAGCTGATGTCGTCAAACAGGCTGCACATAAACGGCTGTTCACCGGAATCCAATCAACCAACGATGGCTCAGCCTTGGAGCTTGGAATGATACACCAGCTTGACCCGTGAGTGCTGCATCGGCGTTTCCGGATGCGTGCAACCAATAACGAGAGGATAAGCCGGGTGCAGTTATTTCAATAACCCCGTTAGGGTCATTGATCCTAGTTTCGGACACACAACACACATCAATACCCAGTGTGTCTAAAGTGCGTGCGAGTGCAGCCTGTTGACCTGTTTGTCTTAGAGTGCGAACGTTGAATGTCGCCATGGAAACGGGACAGCGTGGCCTTATAAGGGACTCTTACCTATAAGAAAGAAAGAATGAATGGTGTCAGCTTATACGCCGTAACGGCGCTTCGCTGCCGCGCGACCACCAGCAGTCGCGCGCGGGCTGAGTATACCGCGAGGATGCCCACCCCTACGCGGATTCGAACCGGTGACCTTATGGTTGCAAAGCAAACGTGCAGACCACTCGGCCACCGGCCGACTTTTACCTATAGGCGTCCGACAGGTGCTGTAGGATGGTGGCTGCAGATGGTTCTACTCCAGTAGGACTTCGGTTGCTGTCAATTAAGCTGGGAATTATAGTGGGAAGGTTAGTAATGGGGGTCGGGATGAAAGTGAGAGAAACAGGTGGAAAAGAAGGAAGGGAGGCGCCAGCAGTAGCATGTTTTCGCTTACCCGCCCTGCTGTATGCAGCAGATAAGGCGACCCTTGATAATCTGCGCGTCGGCCGATGCAGGATGAAGTTTATGTTTGAAGAAAATGTCATGGTTGTATGTGAGTTGAGATACTGCCGGGAGGACGATTAGGGTCCTCATCCAAAGCCTTTGGCTCAAAAGCCCGTCCGCAAGGCTGCGGGGAGGTAGCAATGATTTAGTTTTACAGAAATGGACGCTATCCCATTTCAAACCCCCATCCTGGAGGACCAGGAGACTGAGTTTGTCTGACCTCTCACCATTGACCAACCTGGTAGGAGTAGCTCTCAAGATGCTCGGAGGCATCACCCAGTATAGCTCAATGGGTCAATGAGGTACGCAAACCGTCGCACCACGTTAAGGTCCAGTCTTGTTGCGACGGCCGAAGTTGCATAAGCCCCGATCCGACCGGGTTATGGCTGAATCGTTTGTTACGTAGGTTTGTCGCTTCTTGGAACGCGCTTCCAAAGGCCGTGTTATTAGCACCGACGGTGAAGGAACTTGAACATCGACTCTACAGTTGCGGTTTCATAACTTCCCTTTGATTCCTAATTCCTATTTCCATTTCCTTGACTTCTCTTCTTGCTGCTATTACTTTCCGCACTAGCATTATTTGTGTTCCGTTTGTTCTTTCCTGTTTTTCCCATTCTCAGCTTTTATTCTTATTTCACGTGGCCGCTACAACGGGGATTGTTAGTGTAAGCCACATGAACATTGATTTACTGACTGTACTGAGATCCGAGTGTATTGGTTCGTCTCTCCTGTTTCGAATTGATCTCACGAACGCTACCATTTTTCAACGACGACCTACCGTTCCCTTCCCATTTGAACTTGAGCGGGGGCTTAATGTGATACCCAGTTGTTTCAAGTGAACTTTCGAGATCAGACCATCGTTTGATCGCAGCTGGATCCTGTATAGAGATGAAATGGCCTCTCTCACTACTTTGTGTTATAGTATTTAGTTTCTCAGCTTTTCTGATTAACCATTTGCCCCCCTATTTCTTCCCCCTATTATTTACACTTACAAGACTAAACACGGTACTAAGTGCCATGCTGACAGATACCTAGACGTAGGCCTGCCATGTGGAACATATTTATCAGTTGTACTGGACATGGCATTGCGTTTATTATATTTAAAGGTTTTCTTACTTATGGCAGTCAGTAGAACCTGAGCGTTATTCATTTGATAACTCTAGTACATGGGATCCAACCTTAGGACCTGACGTTTGGGCTCAAGCGTCCAAAGACGGGAGCTTCTTGCCTACCTGGCTGTTAATCTCACTTGCTACTGCCCATTGTTATTCACAATCAACTGTGACAGAGATATTTCACAACTGTTCGCATTGCGAGCACTGCCTTAACTTGTTAATCTTCACATGCTTTCGGGCCATCCTACTTTATGGTCGTAGGTCAGTGCATCAGGATGGATAACAGAACCTGAGTCAGCCTTACTTGGTTTTATCGTAGGTATCTTAAGACATACAGCACACACTGTTCATCATCATCATCAGTACACCTTAGCTGAGGGTGAGAAACACACCTCAGTTAATGTTCCGCAATACAAAAAGAAGAGACTCAAAACTTAAACTACAAAAGATATGATGTTAAATGTTATGTTATGCGTTTTGCATGAAATTAGGGTTGAAGGGAGAACCTAAAGGGAGGTGGATGGACAAAGGAACTCAACACAAACGCCATTGGGGCCCGCTCTTCGCAATATTAGCAAGTATGTCCAACCGACTTCTACCTGATCACCACAAAGGGTTAGTGCAGGAGTGGGTTTCTGCCATTCTTGGAGAAGTACTTTGCCTTTCGATGGAGCAAAGTATAGCGCAAAACGATTGACAGCCATTGCTAATCGGTCCATTGCTGCTTAGCATGCTTAAGGGCTTTCAGATTAGGACAATATCGTCGCATACTCCAAGTCAGGAAGTCGTCCACCAGGTAGTAGCTCAACACCTAGGCCGTGTCCAACGAATTCTGTTTCCATGACTTCGACAATTGCAAAGTTAAATGGAAAAGGTGACTGCAGACAACCTTGTCTCACACCGCTGGTGATACTGAAGGGTGGCGACAGCTTGCCACAAACCTTCACTCTGCCCGAAATATGCGGCTATAGTGCTTTGAAAGTGTTTACATATTTATCAGGCACATTTTTCCTCTGCACACAGTCTCAAAAAGCATATCGAATAGCTGAATCGATGGCACATTTTATGTCAAGAAACACGAAAGCGGTGGGTCGCCAATAAACATGGCGGTGCTCCAACAATTGACGCAAGGTGAAGATGTGGTCGATGCAGCTCCGACGACGAAAACCGGCTTGTTTTTCGCGGATCTGGCTTCCACGAGTGCCAGTCAGTCTGTGGAGAATGACAGAGGCAAGCGATGTAGAGGCAGTTGAGACCGAACTGATCACTCTATAATTGCCGCATTCCGAACGACAGCCTTTCTTGAAAACTGAGACAATGACGGAGCTGTTTCAGTCTGTCGGGACAGTCTTCTGCTCCCAGTTTCACTAGAAACTCGTGTAACGCATCGACTAGAGCAGGTCCCTCGAATTTGAAGAGAGTTGGGGGAATCCTATCTGACCCTACAGCCTTATACAATTTCAACAGCCTGATCTCATGTTCGACCTCTGCGCGTGAGGCCGGACCCAAGAAGACGGCCCAGAGAGAAAAGTGTTCAATACCCGAAAAAATAGCGTCATCTCAGGTTGACTTAATTACCTTGCAAAGTGTTCGGCCCAAGGCTCCAAGCATTTTGGCAGCCTGTAGATCGGCTGCCCACTTTCGTCGCGTATGGTCTCGCTAACACCAGGTCTCCTGCGGCCTCTTTCCCGTTTCAGACGGAAAAGCTTACGGGGATTACCAAGTCAGCGGCTGTTTCCATCTCCGAGGCACGATGAGGCCACCAGGCTTTGCGGTCTTTCTTCAGGCTAGCACGCAGTTTTGTCCTGAGAGTTTTACGAGTCTCATTGTATTCGCTTCGAGCCGGAATACTTCAGTGAGCATCCATAAGTTCCAGAGACTGTGTAGAGACTCAATGTCCAGTTTGTCAATTGGATTTGTTGCATGAGGACGTGCCTGCTGATATTAACGTTTGGCGAATATGCAACCAGTGATCTTCGATGGTGTTTAGTGGGCGCTTACTCAGCCCAGATGTCATCGCACTTTGATACACATTCAGAACAGCTGGCTTCGCCAGCTGACTGGTGTCAATCCGTTCACATCGACTTTGCAAACGTCCACCGAAACGCACCCGATCTGCGCACACAAGTGCGTAGTCATAGTCCACGCTCGTACTCCAAATCGAGCGACAGTTTTAGACAGCCTTTCCTGCGGTAACTGATCGCAATCTAGTCGATTTGCGTCCATGGCTGGTGCGAAGCTGGTTGGCGCCAAGTCGCGCGCCTGTGGCTGCTGTGTCGAAAGTTTGTGCTTGCGAGAAAGAGATGTGCATCTTCACACAACTGTAGCAATCGCTCACCGTTATCATGACGGCAGCTTACACCATGTTGGCCGCCCAGATGAAGCTCATCAGAGGACAGTTTTCCGACTTGGGCGTTTAGATCGCCAACCAACACCACAGTATCCGTGCTTCTTCTGTAACGAAAGAGGTCATTAAGTTGCTGATAGAAATAATCTGTCACCTAATCAGTGCTTCATTTTGTAGGGATATAGACCGCCATGACAAACAGGCACCGGTTGTTCCCGCGCGACTTCGTAATATGGAACGAACCTAACGGCACACATCCGACTGTTGACTGGGATCCAATCGATCAGGGCAGCTTCAGCTCGGGGACTCACAACAATTCCGACGCAAGCCTGACCGACATGTTGAGCTGCATCATCGTTAGACAGGCGCAATGAGAATGTGCCTCTAGTGTCGCACACACTGTTACTCGTGGTTATCTAATGCCGCGCTTTCCTCCACTCAACTTCCTGCATATTATGCACGCATAAAGTTTGGTCTTGTGATAGCGATCACTAATTTTCTTCATTATCCTTGCTGTACGCATAGTTTTTCGCTTAAAATATCTGATTATCTTTCTCCCACAGGCCAACATCTCTGATGATGCCAAACACGGTAAATATTGAACGCCATAAACTTAATCAAGCAATGTATCAAAAGTTGAAGCGATACATCATGAGCAAGCGCAGGCGGGAGTTGGAGGGTAGCTGTATTTTCCTACACTGATCGTAATACCATATTCATAGAAAAGGCTCAAGATGCCCATTTCAAAAGGCTGAGAAAAGAGCGTGAAGAACGACGTAGACAAGCCGAAGTGGATGCTGAGAATCTTGAAGAGACACGTGGTGAGGTACGTGTCGGGTATCACCAATTTAAATACCATTCAAGCTTTCCGCTACCCGGAAGAAGATTAGAGAGCTAACTGCTCGTAGGAATGAACTGTTTCAACGCTGGAAGCAGCTGCGGAGCGAAGAATCCACCTTGAAGGAAAAGCGCAAAAAGTACGAACAGTCGAATTCTCAGTCCTTTTGTCATTTTTAGCGAGGCGTCAGCAATTTTGGCGAATATACCTTCCACTCAGTTTGGGATAAATCCCGGTGCTGTCGGAAACCCGAATAGAAGCATGACAGCCACAAATCCGCCGCTTTCTAACACTACAACTCATGTTCAGTCATCCCAACCTGCGCATATGCAACCCGGCAAAACGTTTACCATCGGTCCGAACGCCATTGCACCGTGTCTCACTCTTCCACCGCAGCAACACGGGCATTCCCATCTATCCAATTCAACTGCTTCACAAGACATCACATCTACACTTCGAGGTTTGCAGAATGTTGCTTACACAACATCCGTGTCTAAGTCTTCTCAACTACCCCTCACATCCCCTTCCACCTTGGGAACGGGCCTCTTGCAGGTTCCTTGCACCAGCATATCCACAAGCCACGCAGCCGCAATGGCTGCAGTTGTAGCTGCATTGACTGCTCAACCTCGCACAGGAAACTCAACGGATTCTGTGAGTTTTGTTATTCTATTGTCTGCGTTGCGTACTTTTCGCTTTTACCAAACCACGATCTCTTTCTCTTCAGAGCAGACTCTTATCTGGAAGGCAAGGCAGACCAACAACCCCCAGTATAGTGTATAGCCACTTCGTTCACATCCGCCAGATCAGCAGTTATCGACTCAAAGTCTTGTGTCATCCTAGCCTCAGCAAACTAAACACGGTTCAGCTTTCCGATTGGTTATCTGACGTGTGTAGCGCCTCGAATAAGCGCATTGTACAAACCCTACTATTTATCTAGAGAACTAAACTGATTGTCACCTAATGCTGGTTTACTCATCCCATCTTGGTCTACATGCTGTGCCATCTGACATGAGAAACACTAGTGTTGATGATCTTCAAAGACCTGAAGGTGTATGGTTTCTTTAAATCGACCCGATTTCACCATTATGCAGGAGAATGGCGATATTTGCATACAAAATTATTCGAAGTCATTGCAATCTTATTGTGATCTCGGAGAGGTCACAGGATGGTATGCCGTTTTAGCTTTCGCAATGCGTAATCTAAGCTCATCGGTTACGTTGCACGTCATCAAGGTTCTCTGCACTGATAGGTGACTGATGGTCCTGTGACAGCAGCTTGAACTTTAGGAGTGGAAAATTCATACCAAAGGATTGAATCACTCCAGAGTTGGATTTCCGTATTTTCGTTATCGTATGACAAGGGAATACCGTCTGTGTAATCTGGACCAGCCAGTTTTCTTCCGTACGTGGCTTCAATACCCTCAATGTTTGATTTTATGATGGAGCACTGCTAGGGGGTCTAGGACGCAATTGAGTAGAAGCGGTTAAATAGTACACCGCCTTAAGCCAATTTTGGTCACAAAGGCTGTCAATAACTCACTGCGGGCTTAGATCGCTCGTAAGGTCCACTTTGATCCCGTCGAACGTCCTCCTAAAGAAGTGTTTTACACATATCGGACCTGTTGACAGAAATGACCCCGGTCATAGTTGATCTGAGGTACATGTTACATCCGTCTATACTGCATAAAGCGCAAATGCAATCAATGCCTCTGCGTTCTACTCGGAAGTATGCCTACACCTCTCGCCCGATATTATCATTCCATAGTAAAGCAGCGAAATACAATGGCGGCCAGTAAATTTGTTACTACTGACATCCTGCCGAACTTCTGTGTTTGGCACATGAGTATAGCTACTGTGATCCATCCACCTATTAACTTGGTTAGTCTGCTTCTTGTGCTTGTTATTTGTGCGCGATTCACTACAACTTATACTGCAGTTTTTCGTAGTGTGTCAGAAGTACACTTATGTCACAACCATCTTGGTATTATTTAGTGCATGGGAGCGTGTCTCATGTCTAACGCCGTGTCTTGCTGCGAAACGGATTCGCTTGCTACTTACAGCAGTTTCATCTGAGGTGAATCATTAGTGCTCCGACCACAATACGGTTTGTTGGCCTAGTGCACTGACTGACCGAACTGCGTAATTCAGTAAACCCATTAATCAGGCGTTATATGTATTTCAAGACCCACCGGTGGGATAACAAACAGTTTGCCCCCATAAAATTTCGTTTGGTATTACTCTGCGTCTATTCGCATGTTCTGCAGTAAGAGTTCTAAAAGGGTTTGTCATTATATACATCGGTTTGGTGCACCATACATAATCATAAGCTAAACGGTAACATGATATTGATATTCCCTTCTTATCGACGCTCACCACAAAACGATGAATTTATCTATTCATCCACACCCTACAGATTTCCTAAGTGTAGACAAATTCCTACTAGACTTTTGGGCTTCACTGCTCATAAACTTTTTAAACGTTAAGTTTGCTAGCTGCCATCTTGCAATGATCGATTCTCCGTTGGCATTCTTAAGCGGAAATCAGACAGTATGACGATATCTCCCTTCCCATGTACGCAGTATTCTACCATCTTTTGATCACTGCCAGTTTGTAGAGATGACATGCACCGGCTCTCGGTTTTCGAAAATCTGTGCTTGAGTAGGATTGCTGGTATGTGATGGCACGTCCTATGTACAAACGATGACGTCGGATGTTGTGTCTTAGAGAGCTGGAGTGTTCCTTTGAACAAACTAGTTTTGCTACGCCATTTAAGATGGCTTGGTCACGTCAGGCGCGTGGCGCTTGAGATTTTGCCGCGCGGCGCGGCGCGGCGCTCTATTCGATTTTTCAGGACCTGGCTGGAGGTGTGGTAGTCAGCCTTGCACTTGACTGTAGTTAGTTCGGATGAATAGAGTGCGATTTGTGTAGTAGTCTGTACCCACGCTGCAACCACTTGTTGGAGTCTCATTCGAGAACAGCTGCTTGAGCAGGATTGATCTATCAACGCTTCCGAAACCATCTATGTAGTTGAGAAACAGAAGGCTTACTGCCCTTCATTTTTCATCCAGTGCAGATGCTACAGTATGCACAAGATATGAAACAGCATCATGTGTAGAGCGGTCATGTCTTTAAGCGAATTTGTCTACATCACCTGCATTGGTGTGTGTGAAAATCCAAGGGGCAAGTAGTTTCTCGAAGACTTACCACACCACCGATATGCATGCAATTGAACAATGTTTGTGGGAGTTCTTCTTGGGCACAGGCGATGTCCTTACAGTTCTCCAAATGTTATTGGTTGAAAATGGCGGTTAGAGATTTCGCAACATAATCTACACAGAGCTTTAGTATAACTGGTGACAGTGTATCGGGGCCAGTAGCGTAGTTTACCATTTTTGAGTTCTAGGCAAACATTAAGCCTGTCAAGTGTGACTACCGGACCTGTGTTAATGAAGTGGAGCAAAAAAATTAATACCGTGCTGAGAAGAACTGATCTCAGCGTTACTTTTATTCACATCCACGTTAGTATTGCGCCTATCGGAATTTTGGCCACATCAATGCTTCGAAGCTCTCTAGAGATCGCGGCAATCATGATTGCCTAGCACAGTCTTGGTCTGTAAGCGGTACAATATTTTTATCTCAGGTTTGCCGAAGAGTCTTTCAACTTGTGCAGTCATTTTTTATTTATAGGCAATTTCTGTATTTCTTCTGATTTGCTTCAATATCGGCAAAAAGTCTTTCCATCTATAGGTAGATGGTCTCGATAGGGCAACACAACTCGAAGCAGTAGTTAATGTATTCGGTTCAGCTCTCGCACTCAAAAGATAGCTTTTCGTTTTTGAAAACTGAAAAGTCACTTAAAACCAACGTCGCTTGGAGTTTCGCGATGTTTTTTGTCAAACAGTATCGCCGTGTGACGGTTTCGAATGGCCAGTTCGTCAAAAAGATAACTGGTTTTGTAGTACTTGTCTGGATACACCATCAGAATGCAGTCATATGAGTTTCCTGGAGTAGTGTAAAAAACAACTGAGTTCTATTTATGGTGACAAAATCAAACTGTGTATTTAGTCTAGTTTCGGTGTTAATCATATCTGATAGACCAAGTGATTTGGTGACTGCCGTGTCATTAGTTGCAGTCACTAAAGGGAGCTCTCAGTTTTAGACAATAACACTAGGGAAAAGTGATAGGCATAATTCTGCAACTCAGGCGGTGGCGTGTTAGGAGCTATATAAATATTTGTAGTGATTACTGGAAGAAATTCGCTCAGAAACGTTGGCTTACATTTCAACTAAGTGGCAGCTAACATTCAATGTTATGTATTTTGACAACGAAGCTACAGATTTACACCAATGTTGATGGATGTATCTGCTGACGCTTACTGCACGACTGTGCGATTTTCTAGGTCAATTTCTCCTTATGTGACGATGTTACTGAGTTGTTTAACCTCGCCCTCGACGTTAGAATGGAGCCAATCTTATTAAAGCACCACAGCACCTGTATTTGCATATTCCTTCACCATCATTATACCTTTTGGCTAGAGGTGTAAAACACCTCAGCTACTCTGCCGCAATACATAAAAGAAAATGAAAATAAATATAACAGTTGCATGCCAGCTGAGCTACTTGATAGAGATGGGCATCGTTATGGAAAGATAGCAGCCGGCTACTAGGCAACAAGAAAAATTATATTATGCTGCGAGATGAGATCGTGGTTAGAGGGGGAGGCTGAGAGGGATGGAGTGGGACGGAGAGACTTACAGCACGAACGCCACTGAGATCGGCGCCTTGCCATGTCGGCAAGTGTATCCAGCCAAGCGTGTTCACCGTCTTTTGGTCCCCAACCAGGGAGCCGTGAAGCTCCAACCGAGACCAGCTCCGAAATGAGGGCCTCCATTCCTCTCGACCAAGTCATCGCTTGGCCACCTCTATTCTTCTTTCATCCACACCTCCGGCGTGCAAACAACGCATGTCGTGGAAGTCGTTGGGCTTGCATACGTAGCGCGTGGCCGAGCCATCGGAGCCTAGTGCGTGAAAGGACGGTACTAAGCGGTTCAGTTCCTTTTCTTGTGCCTTAAACAAAGCGTCGACACACTCGTTGCTCACGCGGTGTTTCCACCAGATGTGAGCCAAACTGCGAAGGCACCGATGGTCGAACGTAATTAGCCTCTTTATGTCTGCTGATTTTAGGCGCCAAGTTTCGCAACCGTACAGTAAGGTCGAACCTAATGCTGCATTGTACACTTTACGCTTCAGAGTGTGAGTGATGTCGCGCCGTCGCCGTAGGTGCGAAGACTAGCAAAAGCGTTTCGATCTTTTGCTATACGGTTCGTGATCTCGTCTTCGATCCCAAGGGCGCTGATTCAACTTCCCAGGTAGTTGAATTTTTGAACGTCTTTTAACTTATCCCCACAAATGACTGGCGAACGAGGCGGTCCATGCCAATCTTCTAGAAACTCTTTGCACTTCGATGGTGCAAAGCAAAGTCCGAAGCGGCTGACAGCCAGTGCAAATCTGTCCAGTGCAGGTTGGCACGTCTGGGAGCTGTCACGGATGAGGACAATGTCGTCTGCATGCTCCAAGTCACGAAGTCGTTCTCCTGGGAGTAGCTCCACACCTTCTAAGTAGTGTCCTATCAATGCAATCTCCATGACTTCG